CTTGTGTTCCCTCCACTAGCACCCCTTGTGTTCCCTCCACTAGCACCACTTGTGTTCCCTCCACTAGCACCACTTGTGTTCCTGGTCTAGGTGCCAAGGTGCTTGGTACTTTCGCACTCTCGTTGCACCAGCAAGTTTTCGACAAAACACTGCTTCAGCACCAGAGACCTGATACAGCACTGGTCGTTGGCATTGGTTTAAACATGTTTAAACTAAGCTATTGTTGCAACCTGTTGCAACCAACTGTTATATAGGACTTTTGGATAAAAAGCACCGTAATCGATGCCCTTCCAAATTGTCTTATGTTGATTTACTAAAGTGAATTGGTGGCATCTTGCAGGGCCACGAGCTCCTTCATCAACATGTAACACATGTCCTCAGAGCCGTGCGTTTGGAACATGTAGCGTTAAAGGGCACCTAGGTTTGAACGGTTTGGATTTTGCCAATGGAGAGGAGGACAAACATGGGGGAGTTCCCCTTCCATTGTCCTAGGAGAGTGGAGTTGCAACCTGTACAATGGTCTTTAATTGGCTTTGGAGCTACCAGGCCACGGAGTCCACCAAAAACACTGGAGGGATCAAATGGAATCCAACCGGCCGTGCTGTTCTGAGCCACGGCCGTGTTGAGCTTTTGATCGATGCCGCCAGGACTGGAATGCCACGGCATCGCCGGGAGAAAGAATTGGTGGGGATCGCCCTGAGGATCGATCGATGCGTCGGACGGGGGTTGGGTCTCCAAAAAGACGATCCTAGTCGAAGGACTCGTCAAGATGAGACGGATTTCAGGGCAGGTATAGGTATAGGTAGCGAAAAAGGAAAACCCTTTTCTTATGCGCATGAGAAAGGAACATTTTGTCATCCAACGTGTCCTTACCATTTCTTACCTGAGCCAATGGATGAAACATCATGAACATTTGGTTTTCTGTTTCACCCGATTTGCATTGATTTGTTGATATTTTGTCTTGCGCAAAAGATCCGATTATCGGCTGATCCGATCAGATTCTTGGGGCAGATTTTCGGGTTGTACCTTCCATGTTTTTGTGACGGACATGTTGAAACCTCATTTGGTGTTCATTGTGTTCACCATACCCAAAATGGTCAACATGGTCTTGGGATGTCTTGGGTGAGGTTTGGAGGTTAGCAGACGCAGGTGCTCTGCAGGCAGGTCCAGTCCCCTCGTCTGCAAGGGCCGTGTCAAGGCTGCCTTCCCATGCCACGTGGCCAGGTGTGGTTCACCTGGATCTTTCTTATTGATCCTCACTGTCACTTAGTACGATCATTCATCCTATCATCTATCTCACCACCGGCAAACAATTTGGGACCAACTAATTTATAGCAACAACACCAATATAGAACCGATCGGACCCCTCAAACCCACTGGCTGCTAGAGTGTTAAACAACCATGCCGTTTTCTCTTTGTTCATTTTGCCGAGGCGTTGGTGACAAGATCGTGAAGGTTTGCTGCGATGCGTTTGTTTCAAGCAGGGAGTGGGAGAGGTTCAACACTGGAGGTCGAAGTGAGCAGTTCTGTGACACGGAAACCGGGCCTGCATTTGTTTGTCAATGGATCCAACTAGACCCTGATCATATCTTGCGGGTTCCGGGCTTCTCCCAAACACGCAAGCTGTGGGCATGAGACAGGAAGCATCAACAAGTTTCCCAAAATGACCACCAGGGTGCCTCAGGGTGGGGAAGAATCACCATTTGACCTCGAGCTGCAGACCTCCTATAGACGTCATTCCATGGCATGATGTGTATCCATTTGCAGAGTGCGAATGTTTCTTCCGCTGTGCAGGTGAATCAGGTCCGCGGCAGTGGCAGGATGCTCTTGGCAGAGTTCCGGAAGGACCAGGTGTTGGAGCTCAGAATCGTCCTGCATGGTCCTACATGGTTGTGGACGTGTTTCAGTGCTGTGGAGTCTGTGAGTATGTCCGTTGGGGGCACCAGCTGCTGCAGAAGACATAGTCGTGGGTCGTCGTCTTGGGAGAAAAGGGGTGACAGGTGCTCCACCTGCTGGTTGCTCCTCCAGGGGATGACATCGTGGCCAGCGAGGTGTGCTGGGCAGAGTAGCGAGGGGTGACAGGTGGCCAGCGTCCCCATGGAGAGACCCCCTGTGTGAGGAGATCAACGGGACTGAAGAGTGGAAACTGAAAGGGACCACTGGGTCTTGAGGACTGGTTGAGTGGTCTTGAGGACTGGCTCTGGAGATGATTGAAAGTAGACATCCTCAATTCAAGTGACCGCGAGGTGTGATTGTCTCACAAAGAACTCGCTGCGCATGCTTTGGTCCACAGATACTATGGAGTCAAAAGAGTCGCCGGGGGCTTGTTATCATGACATGATCATCTCCAGTTCATCTTGAGCTTGTTCATCAGCACATGTCAACAAAGCCGAGACACTTTGACATGCATCATGTCTTCAGAGTCGCAGATGCCTTTGCCAGGCCAGCAACAAGGTGCGGCAATTGTGGAGAGGAATGTCGTTGGGGCGGGGCTGTGCGCACGAAACGGCACAGCCGCCTGTCATGGTTTGTCCACTTACTTGCAGTTGCCACGGACGATCTGGTGTGGACCAACTGGACCTCTTCTGCGCGTAACCTGCGGACTGCAGGTTCCTCCACGAGCGGAAGAACTCACCTGGCAGGCCAGCAACCATCGGCTGAGCAGCGGAAGCTACACTCCTAGGATGGATTGAGAGGATTGGAGTTACACTTCATGGCTGCCATGGCTCCTCTTCTTGTTTTGTAGAAGGGTGGCCCTTTTCAAGCATGTACATGGTGAGAGATGGTGATTTCCTGCATGTACGGAGTTTGTTTGTTCAGCAAATCTCATGACCGGAGACGTTGATTCTCCATCGCTTGCTTACTTGGAGCCATGAATCATCATGAATCCTCCACCAGTGGCTCGTGCCTGATCCTTTGCTGCGGCATCACCAGGATCTCAGCCTGCAACAGCTTTTGGGTTGGAGCCCTCCAGGACTCTGCGATTGGCGCGGGAACCCGAGACTTCGGTCGAGCCTCTTCGGAACCAGAAACGTGAGACTCTTCAGCATCTAAATGCTACAAGGCTGGCAAACATTTCGACCATTATGTTTGAGGCCTATGAGACGTCCCACCAAGGTTTCTTCTGTGATGGGTTCACAAGTACCAATCAGATCGTATGTAGATGATCAAGGTGCCGGCTGTCCTCCATTTGCTGCTGCAAAACCATGCAAAACGTCTTGGCCAATTGGACTCATCAGACTCATCAGACTGTATCAGACTGGTAGGGTGATCCTGTGTTGCTGGGGCGGATGAGAACCGAGGAGTTTGTGCCGTTCCTTTAGTTGATTCTGAGGCAATGGCACGAGACTCCTCTGCAGCAAGCCACTGGACTAGGCGGGTGCAGCCGTTTGGCATGTAGAGTTTGAATGGCCCCGCGGACGTTGCTTGGATATGTTCAAAATCTGCGTCAGCCAGGCCAAGTGCAGTAGATGGCCCAAACATAATATTTCTGGAACTTCAGAGTGGTGCTTGTGTTGTTTGTGATGCAGTGGACAGTGGTGGAGGATTGACGAATGGTTGATTGATTGTGGATGGTTGATGAATGTGCGTGCGTTTGTGATTTCCTCATTGTGCTGCGCATGCTGTCTTCAGCAGTTGATGGTGAGATCTTTTTCTAAGTGCAGACTCAGTTGAGGCCTTCAGAAGGCCTTTGTTGAGGCAATCCAATCCAATCCCATACCAGTACCAACTCTTTGAATGGCCAAACTCCCGACATGAAGGTCCGTGGAAGATGGCAGTGGTTCAGTGCTTACCTGAGAGGTTTGTGCGCTGGCAGGTTGGTGTTGGTGAAGGGAAGGTGGATTCTCAATACATCTATGCATGTCCCATGTCATTCTAGCAGCTAGCATGCACATGTGGACATGTGGACACGAGCCGCCAAACTTAGGAAATCTTCATCTTGAGAACTCCCCTTACCCATGACTACTGACTACTACTACTACTGGCTACTCATCAGTACTCCTTCCACCCGATTCACATTCCAACACGATCGAAACGGCTGCCAGGGCCTGCCTGCGCTGTCGATGCTCAAAAGCCCCAAAATAGAATTCCTGATTGGTTCCTGAAAAAGGGCCTGACTTAGTTTTGTGTTGTTTCTATAGAAAGGGCTTTCGACTTGTTTGGTTTCATAGAAAGATGCAATGAATTTCAAGATCTTCAACCCTTCAACCCACAACCACATGGCACTTCACTCATCCAGAACTTAAAAAGACCCCGAGTGATCTTGGGCGGCGAAACCACCCGTTCACACCACCCGTTCACACCACCCAGTCAGCCTGTCGGCCATCTGGGGGTTGCTTAAAGCATGAAGAAGCCCAAACGCTTGATGACGCGCCCACATGTCAGTTGGACGAATGGTGTTCCGGGGACCTTTGGGAAGCGAATGGAAAGGACCGCGGACACCACACATGACCGCCATGCGGATGGATCCACTCGGACCCACATGTCGCGACTCTCGGAGGTTGGACGGTTGCACTTGGACTTCAGAGGTGGATGAAGTCTTCATGACCTCGCTGGAGTGTCAGGAGCACATTCGGGCTGTGGGCTGGTTCATTGTTCATGCAGATTGCGATCTACACGACCTGCGGATCCGGATCCGCGTTCGGCAGTCAAGAGATGGCAGGGTTTGTGAAACATTGTGGAACCATAAATCTGTCAGGTTCAATAGTCTTGCAATTGTGTGAAAACTCATGGAGTTTGCAATCTGAGACTCCAAGATTTCGCACTTGGCTTCGAGTTCCTTTCCGCAAACTTCATCCTGCCTCGTTCAAGTCAGCAGGAGCGCATTTCCTTCCCTTCCAAATCCTGTTTGGCGCCGGGTGGCCCATGGGGCCCGTGGTCATGAGATGTGGATGGGGAAAGCAGGGGAAAGCAGGAAGCTTCGAAAGAATGGCCGGAGAGGTTGAGCAGTTATTGTGTCTCAGTGAAGGTTTTGCATTTCTATTTGGAATCACGCGTCATGTGTATTTCCATGCATATGCGCAATTGGAATCAACACTTTGATGGCTGGCAACTTCTTGCTGCTGCCACCTTTCAAAATTGAAAGGAATCTTCGGGAAAGAAACTCCCAAAAGGTGCGGTGGTAACCAGCATGCTTGGATCTGCGTTTGCGTTAGCACCTAATTTGTGCTTCCAGCACAAGCCAGCCATTTGTATTTTCCTTCAAGGCTTTCGCAGGATCCACTGGTACCTACTCTTGGAATCTTTATTTGTTATCTTCGCACGATCCACCATCCTTCTTGCCCTTCATTTGATCCAGTCTTGGCTGTCACGCCTGAATCGGATCACGAGCTGCCACAGTCGTAAGTTGACGAACCGGAGTTTTTCCCGAACTGAGGAAGCTGCAAAGTTTGGACTTGATACTCGTCCCGCTGTTGCTGGATGAGGAGGTGCGGCAGCGCCATCGGCAGTCGTCCGGAACGGCGGGGGACGATGGCGGAAGTGAAAAGGACCAAGGGGAAATTGGTCACGGATTTGAAATCCATGTGTCGTGGTGGAAGGTTCTCAAATTGGTGCATGGGCATTGAAGAAACGTACAAAGTGGGCACATTGCAAAGTGTCCGTTCAACTGTTGCATCTTCATGCATCTTCTTGGGGTTTGGACTGGTGAATTTTGAATGGGCACTTTGGAAGGATGGGGCAGGCATGGTGCCCAGAAATTTACTTGATTCCTTGCATGCAACGGTGAGAAAGGGGGTTCAACCACACCACCCCAAATGGTTCCCACTCAAGCCGATGTCTTTACAGATCCTACCATTTTGCCTATGACTCATAAAGTTTTGACTCAAGGTCATAGCCAATTTTAAGTCAAGTCTTCATTCACAGCTCCTCTCCAGATGAGGATCTTTCCACACCCCTTGCACCGTGGCACTGCAGAGTGCAGTCCCTGGGGTGATTTTTCACGGAGACCCCGAAGGGTTCTCCGCTCGCAGGTGGAGGAGCTGAGTGAGCTCTGCGAAGAGGTACTTCGTCGGTGAGATGGCAGATGCGATGCGATGGGGCGGCTGAGGGGCTGAGTGGACTTGTTTTCCTGCAGATTCTTACGAATCACCAAGAAGGAAACTCATGATATGTTCATATCATTTTCCTTCAGATTCATGTTCATGATATGTTGATGAGTCATGAACCATGTTCTAGCTGAACCATGTTCATTGTTCCTTCAATGAATCATATTCATATGATGATATGTTTCTCAGCAAGCTGAAGAACCCCGCCAGAGATTCTTCATGAATCATGTTCATGATATGTTTTCTCAACAACCTGACCTAGAACCCCTCAGTGGGAGCCTTCTTCTGAGACCACATGGACAATCACGATCATGAAATCATGGTGCCCTGAGACTCCTCACTCTTTGTAACTGTCACTCCGTCAGTGTCGGCCAGACACTAAGAGACGACGTAGTCGAGGGGTTCCGAGGTTCGTGGGTGTTCCAGGCTCCGAAGTCCTTCGTAGGTGCAGTGGCGCCATGCAACATAGCTACTAGCTTTTTCGGATCGGTTCGGCGAAAGCAGAGTATTCGGTTGTCCTAACATCATGTGATGTTTGATGTTCCCCATAATTGAATCATGGGCTCCTGGACAGCAAATCGAAAGGGTTTGGTGCTCAGGTCCGCCGGTTCCTGGCCGAGCTCCAGGCACTGCCGCATGGGTTAATAGGGAGGTGGGTCTCCAAAGACGTCTCCCAACCGGAAACAGACGTCAGTGAAACAACATGAAACAACGAACTACATATTACAATATAGTATTCTGATGTATTCTGTATAAATATAACATATATATATATAGGATTTTATATATAGGCAGATATAGGCATATAGGATGTTACTTTTGCGTGTCAGGATCAAATATGTTCCTTTCTATCCGGGTCGCCTGCAGGAGATGGACCCCTTTGCACGGATCGTCGCCGCTTGGTGAGCTGGACAGCGAGTCGATCTCCGTGTTGGTACCATGTATTCCAATTAAAATACAAGTGAAAGTGGTGGAATATGCTTGAATTGTGGTTCATGATTGCTTGATCGCATGTTGTTGCGAGTGAGTGAATGGCAGGAAGCAGAAGAAGAGCTCCAACACACTGATGGTATGACCGTTCATGAAAAACTACATCAGTTCCGATCGGTTTCGTGTGTGGGCCGCGGCGGAAGAGGACTGAGAGAACCTGGACTGGTCCTCCAAGAGGGAGGCCCACAACCAATGGGTTTTGGTCACTGTCCTACTTAGGAGGTCCCATATATTTGAATGCACCCATATCATATGTGTTGATCTGGAGACTCAAGTTGAAGGGTCGCCATGGTTGCTCGTGGTGGAAGGTCCTCGTGGTTGTTCCTTCACGACGGTCTCCGAGGTGGTGGAAGGTCGAGTCTTCGTTTTGAACCGAACATCGATTTGATCGATTTGCCCCACCAAAAAACATCTGCCAGTGGTGCCCAGCCTTTCTTGTCTCCGTCTTTGGTCGACAACTGGGTCTTGGCCTATTTAAACCACTTTCAACCTGTACCCATTCTATCCGAAGGTACCATTATTGGGTCCAGTTGCTGGTCTTCGGTGCCGGTGACCTCTTCTCCTCAGATTTCCCCCAAGCAGCCGACGCGGTTGCAAAGAACCTCCCACGTAGCAAACCTTCAGGCGCCGCCCCGCCTAGGCATTCGCGTATACCCGGGGTCGGCGGATACATATAAACACAGGTCGAAAAGCGTGTCAACCTGAAGTGTTTGGACGCATTTTGGACGCGTTTTGGACGCCATCTTCCAGAATCTCTCGGAAAGTGACTCTCCCACCCTCCCAGCTGTCCGCTGTCCGATTTCTGAGGCTCGGACCGATATGTCCTGTGTGTTCCAGGAAAAACAGACCCATAAAACAGACCCATGGTAACAGCTGCAAAACAAAAGCATGTGCCATATACCGAGGTTTTGCTGCCAAAAAAAAACATGTGCCATAGATATTCTTTGCCCCACTATACAGAGGTTATCAGAGGGTTTAAGGGGTCTCTACTTCTGCCACGCCCGCGCCCGCGTCCTCTCCGCCGAGGCGTTGACCTGCGGCAGCAACGGCCCCGACTGCTTTGGCGCCCGAGACGATGGGTCCGGGGGAGACCGAGACCGGGATGGAGCGGAACGGTGTCCCCAGGTAGAAGGGGCAGAAGAAGGCAGAAGAAGGCAAGGCACAAGGCAGTGAAGGCAAGGATGTTCATGTCAGGTTCCCTTTTTCAGGTTGGAAGGTTCCTTTTTGCTAACTATATATATATAGTCCAAGTCCAAAGAGATAGAACTTATAGAACTTGTTAACAATGGCGGTGAAGTTGTGCTTAATGGACGTCAAGCAAATGATGCATGTTCTTTGTTGAAGACATGAAAGCATGAAGACGGTCAAAACCAGTACGATCAGTTGCAATCCGAAACACCATCGTTTCCACGCACTGGCCGGAACAGGTTCGGAATGCCCGCGGCCGCCCCGGCGCGCGGGATGTTCCGCTGCTTCCGATTGGAACATCCTGAGGTGCACCATGCAGAGAGTTGCGGAATTGTGGGTGGGTGCATGGGTGGACAAATATATGGGCTCATGCCCAAGTGAGGTGTGTGTTTTTCATTGTTTTTCAATATAGGGATATGTCTCCAAGGGGTCGGGACGCCTGGGAGGTCTCCTTAATACACCAAATACACACCCATGACTGTATGTCCTCCTGACTCTGTGGAATGCTCATCCGACGTGCAGGTTCTCACCCACGAATGGACCTGTTTGGATCAGATCCAACGCTCCAACGCCTTGGTGTTGGGTCCGAAGTGCCCTTCCACCTCCCATTTCTCAGGCTAAGAGGAGGTTCCGAAGACCACTGGATACAGTGCTGTCCATTGAAGTTCCATGTTTGTTGGAGGATTGGTACTTATAGTACTTTTATAGTGTATACTACAGATCCTAGATGACCCTACTGAGAATATCATAGGCGTGGTCAAGACATCTTCAGAAAACAGTCACTTTGGCACTTTGGGTTCTTATGGGTTCTTTGAACATTTTTTGGATGTTTCATGATCTTTTTTTTTCTTCAACCGCAACCACGGCGACATCATCGTCCCAGACCCCCATCTTGCACATCGACACCGACGCCGTGGGGTCTGGTGCTTGGCTACCGCCCTGGTGCCACCGAGCTTTGTTGTCATAGCCCGGGTCGGGAGTGTGCCGCAGCATGGCGTCAGCTCGGCAGGGCTCGTGTGATGTTCGCGTGATTTTTGTGCGTCGCATCATGCAATTTGTGGTGCTGGAGTCATGATACAGCAGCACGTGCATGGTATCAGGAAGCCTCGACAAGAGTGGTTACATTGGGCTTAAGTTGTGTGGTCCCTTTGAGCAGCATTTCATGGCGTGGACAAGCCTAGTCAGCTTTCAGGTATAATTAGATAGAATGTCGCATGTGCCATTGGAATGGACAGGAGATCAATGTATGATTCAGTCGAAGACGTTTCTCTTCACAACCAGTTCAAAGATGGCTGATGTGATGGCTGATGTGATCACCAATGACCATGACATGGCCTAGCCGATTCCTTGATATTCCTTGCATGGCACACTTGGATGCTGGGTGTGTCCATCGGTTCCATCCATCTAGGCCGCTTGGTGGATTCGTAGCACCATCACTGCTACGAACGAGTGTGTCCATCAAATTCCATCCTACCAGATCTACTCAAAAAAGTGCCGGCGGCTGCTTCGCCTGAAGCAGATGCCAACCGCGCTCGCTTCGCTCTCGACGAAGCTGGACCGAGGCCCGGCAAGACTGCAGAACTGGAGGCTGCCGCCTCGTGACTGCGGATCTGGGCAGAAGCGGAAAAACCCAAGTCAAACAGCGGCGATTTTCGACCCAAATGACTTGTTTGGAAGCAGAATCTGAGGTCAGACCTAAAGTGTATGAACATGTTTGCCCTTATAAATTGACATGACCAGGTCAGGTTGTTTTTGCTTGGGGTCATTGACACCATGCTGAATAACAGACCCTGCAGTTCTTTGCATTTCAGTCAGGCGCAGATCCGCCGCGAGTGCGGGTGCTCGGTTTGTTGGGTTAGCTTGGTTTGGTTTGGGCCTTGTGTTCGTGGAATTGGTGGATTGGAGAAGGGTCGCATGGAGCGGATGGAGCAGTCATTTTCAAGTTGCCGACCTTCCTCAGTGCACAATTAGATAGGGAGGGGTATTTATTTTTGGATTTTTTTTTGTTTTTTTTTTAATTTTTTTTTTGTTTTTCGTGGCTTCTGGCTTCTGGCTTTTGTGGCTTTCGTGGCTTTCGTGGCTTCTGTGGCTTTTGGCTTTTTGGCCTATCCATCTATCTGTCTATACCTATATCTATTTATCTATCTATCTTTCTTTCTTTCTTTTTTTTGGCATTTTTTCTCCTTTCTCTTTTTGTATTTGCTTTTGTTGTTGTTTTGAATGCAGAGACGGAAGCAAACAAGGAAGCAAGCAAGCAAGCAAGCAAGCAAGCAAGCAAGCACGAGCTGCTCACCTTTGGATCTGGTGTGCTGCTGGGGGGGGCGCCGCGCCCCCCCCAACCCCCCCCGCGCCACGAAATCTGCACTTCATCCCCGACACCCGCGCCTGCCACGAAATCAATATTTTAAGGTGAACTCCCCGGTGCAAAACTTTCTAACCAAGCAAATATGCCTCCTCTATCTATCTATCTATCTTATCTTATCTTATCTTATCTTATCTAATCTATCTATCTATCAATTTATCTTTCTATCTTTCTATCTTTCTGCAGTTCAACATCCACAAAGTACTGCACCTGCCACGAATCTGCACTTCAAGGTCCACAAAATCTTGCGCCTGCCACGAAATCTGCACTCCAAGGCCCACAAAGTCCTGCACCTGCCACCAACTCGACTCTACACTTCCACACCCACAAAGTCCTGCATCTGCCACGAAATCTGCACTTCAAGGTCCACAAAGTCCTGCGCCTGCCACAAAATCTGCACTCCAAGGCCCACAAAGTACTACACCTGCCACGAAATCTGCACTTCAAGGCCCACAAAGTCCTGCACCTGCCACGAAATGTGCTTTGCAAGGTCCACAAAGTACTGCACCTGCCACGAAACACGAAAAAAAAAATTCAAAAAAAAACGAAAAAAAATCCAGAAATATATTCGCAACCTGTTTGATGTCAGTGAATCAGAACGAGTCTATCTCATTTTGCTTATAGAGATTGACCTCAAGTAGAGCTCCACTTGGCTGAGGCTGACCTGGAGATACAATACCCAGCAGGCACCGGGGGGAGGGTGGGTCAAGTCAACTGGGGGCAGGTGGAATTCAACGTGTTTCCCGTTCCGATGCACCCAGAACATGTATGTTGTGAGTTGTGATTGGTTTGTTCATTTTTTGTTTGGTCTGAAGACGAAAGACGAGAATAAACACATCAAGATCGGTTTGAACCTGGAGGAAGAGTGAGGAAGATAACAATCATGCAGTATCATTAAGACATTAATCAGAATATAAGGACTCTTTTTGCAGACATAGACGTCCGCTCGTTTCCGCAGACTTGTGCCAGGCCTCTGACTTGCACCTTGGCAGAGCAACGAACGAACGTTTTCCCGTGGGCATCGAAGGGTCAGCTTCAGAAGCTCTATAGAGCCCTCTAAGATCAGTAGTTTGGGAACCAACCACGGCCGGTGGTTGGATGAGGGCACCTGCTGCCAGAAGCCAGCAGCGAACTTCTGAGAAGGATCCAGCTGACTGGTTTGATGAGGAACACCTCCACTTTTCACTTACCAAAATCACTGCTTATTCAGGTAATTAAAAAGGATCCGACTCTAGGTCTCTTAATTGATGCTTGCAGGTAAGGAAAAAGCCTGGAACCAAAAAGAATAGACATGAGCTGTATGATTTATGTGCACTGCGTAACAAGACATGGCAGAGCTTCCTCTTCTACGCCTCACGCTCTCATCTGAGGGCTTTTCTGGGACGTGAGGCGCAGGGGACGCATCAGCATCCGCGGCTTGGGCGAACGGGGGGAGTTGTTGTCCAGTTGGACCATCTCCAGACAACGTTGGGCCCTACCTGAGAGACACCGGTTTACACCTCGTTGGCTCGGTCTACCTTTCTCCGTTGCTCTTTCGGACGGCCCCAGAGAGGGCATGTTACGTGTGTTACTGTCACACATGGAAGATCTCTTGAATCAACCTGAAATGTCAGGCCATGTGCTGAAGACTTCTCACAGCCTGGCCATACCTGGTGAAATCAGTCGCCAGTTCACGGATTGTTCATTTGTCGTCATCTCAGTGAATGCAGGGATCCCACTACTTCGTAGTACCAGGCACCTTGGCATTTTCCAAGTGACAAGCTTTTTGTTTGCCTTTAGAGAAAGATTGTCCATCACATCATCAAAGTGGACACCAAGGAGGCTGTTTGATATCTGCATTTCGTCATCTGGGCACAGGGGCAAAGGTGCAAGTACCCATTCCACTGTTCCCCTCTTCTTCACATGAACCTGGAGTGACTTCTGCGATTGGCAGGTCGCCTATCGCCGCCAGCGCCGCTTCGTGCCGCAGCGGGAGAACTCAGATCATATGGCGAGGATTTTGTTCCCTTGTCTTGGCCTGTCTTCCGTTTTTCCTTTGGGCACAAGAGGAAGAACATGCAGATACCAAGTTCAAAACCCCCGAGGCTTGGATTCATTGTCTCACAGCTCCTTCCTTCCTTTTTGTGTGGCCTTTCATCCACCAAGGTTGGACGTGTGTCGTCAAGCTCCAGCCCGCAAGCGCGCCTGCCCGGGCGCCCGTGTGGTTCAACAGCCCCAGCCCGGTCAACGGCGGGCAGCTCGCGCTCTCGCCTTGGCATCGCTTCGAGGCCTTCAACGCACCGGTGTGGCACTGATCACCGGCGGCACCGGTGGACTAGGATTGACCACCGCAGAGGCGACGCCGACTGCTCCAGCGGAGCGGACTCGGGACTGCAGGACTGCTGACTGGTTGCCAGGGTGTTTGTAGGAGTGACAGGTCGACACGGGTCCAGTGAGATGAGTTCCTTCTTTTTCATGGCAGGACTGAGACTGGTCACTTGGCTGGTCCTTTGACTACGTCGTCGGAGAATGCATGACGCCGATTTGAAAGTCTGCCAAGTTATATAAGCAACTGAATAGGAACTAGCAGCATTGAACACTGAATTTCCATATTTATTCGCTGTGCCAGGTCTTGGTCGACGCGGGTGTGCGCCATGTAGTGCTTTGCTCACGCTCTGGGAAAGTCTCTGCAGATGCGCCTGGGCAGCTGATGGAGAGGCGCGCAAGTCTGGTGGCTTCGAAGGAAGTGAAAGACTGTTGAAAAAGCCTGAGGTAGAGAAGACTTTGTCATCCATGTGGCCCATGTGGGACGGGGTGATGTTTCTTTCAGCTGTAAAAACAAACCTAAACGAACAAAACACGTAAGCAGACTGAACACGAACGCCTCAATCCTTGATGCGGATGGTCTGATGAGCTGCGCTCCGGTGGTTTTCTGCGCTCCACCAGGCTGGAAGGCTTGCAGCGGACGGCGACCGTGGTCCTGGAGGCCGGGTGCCAGTCCTACGTGTGGCGCGTTCTCCAAAGCGGATGCACCGGGTGGGTGGGGGGGTGGGGGGGTGGGTGGCCATGGCTTATTGGATTTGTTCTGAGATTAGAGAAACAGTCAGACATAGTCAGACACCCACACACCTGTTCCCCTTAGACGTCAAGGTTGGAAATTTCATGCAATCTCAGATCCTGTTTCTGAAGCGAACTCACCCCATACACGCTTGATTGGCACGGTCTGACCATGCAGAAAGAAGAAAAGCCGCCTGCAAGGCTTGTGATGCAGCTGATGAAGATCAAGTGCTGGCGATGTGGCTGGCCCTAAACGTTTTGCGAGGGGGTTAGGCAGAAAGCAGAAGGACAAATCCCAATTCTCAGCCTGGACAATTTGACGGATTAAGGAGGGTCAACGTGGCCAAGGAGAGTCAATTTGGCCAAGGAGAGGATCAACTTGGCCTTAACTTTTTTTTTGACTTTGAGAAAACCACCCTCGGTTAGAACCATGGTTTGTAACATGTGAGAGA